GCTAACAATTATGCTGACTGATTCTTCTTTAATAGCTTTACAGTTCTTGGTAAACCATTGACTTTATAACCAATGCATTTGTCGTGCAACAATGTACCTAATGGTTCTCCAATCTTTCATTTTCTTTTTTTTTAATTTTTCTCATGATTAATCTGATATTTGATAACATACCCAGCTTTACATCTTTTGATTCTTGATTCATCTTCTTCTTGAGTTAGTGCTATTACGCTCTTTTACTCTATAATGGCTGGGGGGCTTATCTCAACCCCACACTAGGCTTTAACTAGGCTAAAAAAAAAATCATATCATTTATTTGTCTTTTAGTTGATGACGGACCTTAAATCCGCATATCTTCCTGAGAGTCCAGAAGTGGACTTGAGGATTGTTATGGCGGGGTTAATTAGCGTATCAACTTTAGTGAATAATTTTAGAGCTCTGTCTCTGATATATTTTTTCACTGAGTCAATCCTAAGATCTCTATGTATGTCTGTTGATCTAATATACCATGGAATCTTAAACAGTTTTCTTAAAGTCAGGTTTTGAGCTATCTGTAATTGCTTTAAGGTAGTATTTGAGGCTTTGCTACATATATGTAACACATCCGTACAGTAGTGCAGGTCTAATTACTTGCGTATAAAGTAACATCTTTTATGTATGTTACTAAAGTGGTTTATCTTAAAATTTTAAATTAAAAAAATTTTGAGTTAGATCACTTAAAATAAATATATATACCTATGTAGGAACAATATATACATAAATACATTGTTGCCATTGGAATAATAATAATTAATTAAATATGGCGCTGTCGTTCTATTGGAAAAACCACTAATAACATGTGGTAAAAATTTGAATCAGAAACAGAGCAGATTCTATTAAATCATACTTTTGTTTAAATTTTGTGTATTATTAAAATATTATTAAATCAACTAAAACTTAACGGCTTTATAGAAATAACGAAATACATACATACTCGTACGACAATGAGTAATGCTTTTTGTGTCTTTATGAAAATTATTTCAAAAAGTTTACCGACAGCTCGGCTGATAGTATTTTTTTTAATTATAATCAGTAAATCTAAAGTTATATATTAAAAATCTAAAATAAAACTTATTTCGCTTTCAGCAACCCCTAGAACGTAATGTAGGTCACGTATATCACAATCACGTAGCACTCATATGAAAACAGAATGCATTAATCAAGCTCAATCTGTTTATTAAAGATACTACAAAATAGAACCAGTTTTATTGCGTTCTCATCATTTTTATGTACAAACGACAAAGATTGAATAAAAGCTTCTCAATCTGTTTATAAAAACATAATAAAAAATTTAAAAACAGAATGTAGTAGAATATATAAACAGGGAAAGTAATTAGATATCGTAAAAAAAAATATGATGTTAAAAATATATTAAAAAATATTTAAAATAAATTTAACGTGCATGCAATTTAATCAAATAGTAATATATTCATAAAACAATACCGGTAATACCACTTTTTGCAAAACATAGCAGAAAAGTATCTGTTCTTTTAAATAATGTTTATACCATTATGACATGTTAGTTTTTTATGAAACACTAATGTTATTGTAAATAAAATTCTACAAATTTCAATGAATTCTACTATTACTAATAAATCGATGGACAATATTTACACAGATGTATATTTATTATATTACAAAACACAGAGCTTAAAAAATATGGCTGTATTTTAATTTACCTTAATTATCTGAAAACCCAACTTAACTTAACCTAAGTTTTTTCTATTATTTATGTTGAGGCTAGTTGAGTCAGTGCACTTGAGCACTTTTACTCTCTACTAACTGAGAGGTTAGGTTAGTCAAACTAAGCAACAACTGACTTCAGATCTACATACCTTCCCGTTGAGCCTATCACCATACTGAGATTCAATAACGCGGTATTGGTAAGCTTGTTGGTACATAATTATCTTATAGGTATATGTCTTATGTTTTAGTAGATGACATAGTAGATGAGAGACACTCTCATTATCTTCCCGTTAGCTGCAACAGGTTTGATTGTGTTTGATAGTTTACAGTGACCTGTAAGTAAATCTACCAAAAGACTGATATCTCTACGGGGTATCTCAATGAAAACTTTGGATTTCCTTTTATCGAAACGTGACCAGATTGCATACAGATGCCTACATATCGTTGAGTCTTCTGATCTTTTATTAAAAATTTCAGCACAGAAATAACTCAGTAACAGTTTGCATGAAGCCAAATATTTAACTTCATTATTTAAATTAATTAATTGTCCATTACGTAGTACTTATATGGTATATATAATATACACATTTATATTTTATCTTGTGCAAACTTAAATGTCATTTATATTTCAAAAAAAATTTTAGAAATAGATAAATTAATTATTAATCTCATTTTAATAAAAATTTTTCAAAACATGTCACTTAGAACATAAATATAGAGAGAAGGATTTTGCAATAGTATTTATGAAATATATCTTTAGAATGGACAGTTGAGTGATGTTAATAGAAATAAATTAAATATAATAATTTGGGATTCCAATTATTTTTGACTCATTCCTAATTTCTTATAGAAGATATTCATTATTAATGCATATAGACATTATTTAATAAAGCTTCTCCCGAAGTAAATTTCTGGCTACGGATGCAGTATGGGTTTCTGCAGTTAGAATCACATCAGACTAGATATTTGTTATTTAGTTTTATTAGACGAAAATTTTAAATCTAAACAATAGTTTCTTAATGTTGTCACTGCTTTGAATGTACCACTCGTATATATCGATTAAGCCTCTATTGGTCAGAAAACTCGTAACCACAATGTTTTTAATCATTACTTTTGGATAATTATAAACGAATGTACATTATACAATATGAAAACTAATGAGAAAGTTTAGAGGTGTAGGTCAGGTATTAAGACAATAAAAATCGCGCATTTATATAAATAAAATTATCTGTTTTCAATTTATTTACATTTTACTTTTAATTAAAGGTTTTTCAAGTACTCATTACGATAAAATCGAGTTCTACAGTTAGTAAATGATATGCAAAAAAGTCAAAAGTCTAAATAATAAAAAAAAAAAAAAAATATTATGTCAGAGAGAAAAAAGGTAAATATATAGTTATTAATATCAAAAACTGAATGCAATTTTTTAATATGAAATTATATCTATATCCATATTATGATGATAGTGATGAGGGGTTTATTGCAATATATATCAATCAGTAAATTACCTCCTTACTAGGTGTGGCTATAATGTTGCTTTGCGTGAGACTAAAATATGGACTAATATAAATATATATATAAAATTATACACAGTTTAGTACAATCCATATTTCTTAATTATAGTTAATAATACAAATAATTTTATCGTTGATATATCATTATAGACTTATTTTATTTAAAATATTTTATTATACTTTTATGCTTTAAACTAGTTATTTCATATTTCTTAACAATAATTAATAACTAAAATTATTTTATCGTTGATATATCATTATACACTTATTTTATTTAAAATATTTTATTATACTCATGTACTTTAAACTAGTTATTCTCGATATATTCCTGCTATTGTCAGAAAATTAATTTTTAAATAATATAGTATTACTAATAATTATAATTATAAAGTATTTGATTTACTTACCAGTGGCTGGTGCTCTACACAGTACCTCCTGTTCCGGTAGAGATTTATGGATAATTGCTTTTGTTTTCTTTTTGACAATAGACGCCGTTACACTTTTCAATGGTATCTGTTCAAACATGCCATATACTTTATGACCGGTAAATGCGAGTACAAAACATATTAAGATCAAACCCAACAGCATGAAAGCATAGGCAAGAAAGTCCGGTATGCAACTGATTCTATCCAACATTTTTAAAAGTCACAACTTTAGCTTTGCTCTGATTTTTTCCAAAATTACGTTGCTTTAATATTTTTTTCAATAAAACAAAATAAAATTTTTGAAACTACAGGAATTATATTTTTCATATATTTGTATTTTAGTTATGTAAAATTTTGAATAACTTCTGCCAAAACCAAACTGTCAGTCTCAGTAACCAAAGATAAACTGAACTCAGTAATGAAAAATTGTTGACGTTTCGGTAAAATATTTTTACTCGTTCGATATTTTTGTTCGATTCGTGTTGAGAGCAATTTTTCTATTTTTTAAACAAAATTTAAGCGAACAATGTGAGTGAATCCAAAAAAAGTCTCTTAATTTAAATCAATAAAGTGCAAAACATTTTCAACGTTTTAAGGTCAGTAAATTGTTAATAATAATAATATTTATTAGTTTATAATATCAAGTAAAATGTGTAGAAGAAAAACTCACATAATACTAATATATATGGCTATAGGTGTTGGTCATAAACACCCAGTATTACCCCTATTTTTTTACACATCTTCATGTTTCTAAGGTAGATATAATCTTTATTCAAAAAAAACACTAAATAATATAATAAAAAATCTTTCCTTTTGATATAAAAGTAAAACTTTTGAACTTATCCGAGAATAAGTAAGTATCTCACCAATTTTAATACCGAACTCTTTACTTTTACATATTTAAATCAATTATTAAATATAATCAATTATTATAATTAATTATTAAAAAGTTACTAATTAAGTTATATTATTTTTGTACGAGAACAAAATTTGAACCGAAAATTTTTTTGGTTTGACATATAGATGTAAACTTCAATGAGTTGTTCTTGTAGTCTGCCCTATGAAAAGTGTCATCAATTATAAACGATTTGACTGTCTATTCAAAATCTAGACATACTTAACAACCTTCCTTCGATTAAAACCCCTCAATTCCTTCCTTTAGTCGTTGCATTCCCTTGTGTGTTTCTAGAACTTTATATTCGAGTATTTTCTGCTGCTTTTTAACGATAGTATTCTGATTATATATCCCATCCATTATAAACTTTTTTATTTCATGGTTTTACGTAATAGTCATCTTCTATAACCACCTCCCTCATGATCTGATCCAACTATGCTTTGAACAATTCTCTTATTGAACCGAAATGTTGAAATTGGGTCTATGCAATCGTTTAAATGAAGTTGTTACTTTAAAAATAATTAGCTGAGATTATGTAAGAAACATTTGGTTTAAAATAACAGTTGCTAAAGAACAGCAACACGTTTTTAATTCCAATCACTGTTTATATATATTAAAGTTCAATAGAAAGGTTGCCGTTTTGCGATTTATAGGTTCAATTAGGTTAGTGCCATTTTATGCGGACAGTTAAGTTCATATCAAATGTGTAATATTTTTGATATCGAACTTGAAGGAAAAATCTAAAGATAAAAGTGGCCTGTACCATTTATATACCATGCACGACTCATTGATTCATACATGCCTACAGACTAAAAAGTCCCCACGTTTTCAGCTTAAAATCCTGGAGATCCCTATAGTACGACCAGTTAACGTATGCCTTTATAGGGCAGATTAAAATAACACTTAATGTGCTTTAATCTGATTGTGTACTAAGTATTTTGTCCGCTTTGACAATATTTATTATTCTAAAAATAATGCTCTCTAATAAGGCTCTACTCTTAAGTGTTTGTCAACATCTGCTTTACCATGAAAGAAGAGGTGGTTTCCCCGATTAATATGTTTCCAGATTTTATATAGTATCTACGAATCTCAATTTTATCTCGATAAAACTGGAAGTACGAATTACTTGTTAGCCTTAACCGGTATAAGGTACTAATCCTCGATTAATCCAAACTTTTATATTTGGAATTAGCGAGTGCATACATCTTGATTTTTGGGAATGATCCCACCAATGTTACCATTCATTAAGGTAATTGCCTCTTATTTTTATATTTTTTTTATTTCTTTTTTGTGGATATTGTAACATATCTATACACAAAAAAGTATCTTTTAAATTAAGGCACTTCCAAAAGTTATCAAAATACTACTGATAGTACAAAATTTACAATTTGAATTGACTTTTCTATATTGATAAAACGTCCGTGATAATTTATCATAGCATAACTTCACGATTTAGTCAAAGTCGATATTTGATAAAAAGAAAAATTAAGTATTGTTTTCAGAGCTCCTTTAACGTTAAGCCCACCGAATAAGGACAGTAAATCTTTCCTAATAGTCCACGACGGATTTCCTTATATATATTATCCTTGTAATATATTTCTGCTGAAAAAAATTATACAAAATAAACAAACTATACTACCATACTTATTTATTTGGCCATAACCCAGGCGCCTCTGCTGCGTGCGCACCTTCTCCAGTTCAGTACATCAAGTCCGGTTAAAAATGTTTATAAATTTCTATTCCTTATATTTCATTTACATATATAATATCATCATAATTTGTTTTTTATAATAATTCATATACACAATATAATATTTACAATATGAAGTTTGAGTTATGGAAGCAGAATTGTATGTAATTTGCTCTCAAAAACCTTAGTGCACTGCTTTTGGTTCGAGTAATAGAAAATTCGAGTTATAGAAGTTCGAGTTATAGAAGTTCGAGTTATAGAAGTTCGAGTAATGGAAGTTTGACTGTATATACAATTATAATTATATTACATTTGGATTTTATGACAAATATTTTTCAAATATTTTTTTTCAAAAAGATATTACTTAAAATTTTTATTTCTGTTTAAAAACATAATTTAATATTTTTAGAGAAAAGGTTTAAAATTTCATAATGGACGACGATATCTCTTCGGAGAATAGCGTTAACAGTATTTTGAACAATGAAGTTGAAGATTCAGATTTGAATTTTGCTGAGATGTGTGTTCAATCGGAATCCTTCATACACAATATGACTTTCCCTAATAATGAGCTTCCAAACGGTTTTCAATACAATGGTTCGCAAGAATGCTTTTACAACTTAATTCCCAATGAAGCCTGTCCACAATCTTCTTCTTCCAATTGCAAGAATGATTTGAAATCTGTGGGATCCAATCCTTTTATAAATTTTTTGCGGGATTTCAGATTGGATCATAAAGATATGGCAGTTATAAACGCCGTACAGTGTGGCGCAGCAGAGTGGAGAAATTTAGAAACGGCTACTAAATTGGCGTATTTCAAAGAGGTACTAGAGATACATAGAGATATTAAAAATACTTTAAATTTTTGAAGTTGTAAAAACTGTGATTTTCTATTTATAGGCATTTGTAGCCAACGGGGGAAATGTAGATGAAGAAGCATGTGATGATATGAATGCAAGTGGAGAGGAGCTTGTTGATGATAACTGTAGTGAAATGTTTAATGAAATAAGATCACCTCCAATTCGCTCTGCTGTTGCCAAACCGAAACGCTGTAAAAAACGTAAGCGTGGAAAGCGCGCTGAAAAGCGTAAAGTACTTGGTCAACCGGGACGTAAAGCCTGCAAACGTCGTTAAAACCGTAGCTAATGCGATATAGTATATAATAAGTGCGTTTCGTAAAATGTTTTTTATTTATAATATTAATATCTGATATTTTTAGATTACTATATCACAACTAAGAATATGAAACTAACAACTATTGCAGACTATCAATTTAAAATTCTAGTATTTAAAAAATCCTAATGATGTATATTGATACAGTGATTAACATTTTGAATAATACATTAAAATGGATTTTTTTTCAAATACTAAATCTATAATTGACAAAAACATTTTCGAAATAAAAGTGAAAAAATTGAAAATCGTGAAAAAATCTTGTTATTGAAAATGATTGAAAATGTTATATTTGCTTGAATAAAATTCTTTTTATATAAAATTTAATAAGCACTTAATTTATTATGTATGTTTTTTAAACTAAATTAACACAAAGTGTTGTAACTAAATTGTTCTTTTTTATATATAGCTTTATTTTAGGATTATGAGAATATTATAGTGTAGTAGAAAATTTTATTATTTAATGCATTCTGAATATTAAAAGCTACGTAGCAGTCCTTGTAACTACTGACCCCAATTTACATATATATATATACATATACCTTCTGCTCAAGAAGTATAGATTTTGTTGTTTGTTAACTACTCCTTAAGTCATAGACCTTTTTTAAAAATTTTTTTTTGTTATGTTGGTACACCCTTTCTAGATATATGGTACAAATTTGAGCGCCATCTGTCAATTAATTTGTTTACAGCAGTTGTTAATGTGAGATTACCTCAAGTGCATTTAGCGATTTTTACTATGGAAAATTCATGTTGTACGCGATTTTTTGACCAAACACGGCACCACTGTCATCGCTCAGGCACCATATTCGCCATAAAATATACTCATATTGCCCCTTCGTGGTAAGCGTTTTGAGTCGATTGAATCGCTAAAAAAGAATTCGCTGAAGGAACTAAAAGTCATACCTGCACGGGCCTACGAAAAGTGTATGGAAGATTGGGTTAAGCGTTGGCATATGTGTATCGCTTCAGAAGGAGCATATTTTGAAGGAGATAAAATAAATTTGGAATAAAATTTAAATTTGTGTGTTTCATTTACAAAATCCAAGTACTTTTTAAGCAGATATATAGATATTTATATATATATATATTGTGAGATATTCTTTTAATAGTTTTAGCTGAAAAACACGAAATCGAATAACGTTGGATTCACATGAGAATTCTGGTTGTAATTTAAGCTGTCAAAAATTTTAAACTGACATCTGAAATCAAAAAGCAAAGACATCGATTTACAGGATGTATCATTGTAACTTGATTATTAGATATATTATATGTATACACTTTTTAACTACTTTCACAAAATATTTATTTACGATATATAAACATACGATATATACATGTAATAAGTTTTTTTTTATTTTGTATGAAAATGTCATTCATTCCTCAAATTTATGCTGATTTTATGGTTTTGTAATTTTAATGTGAATCGTATTTAAAATTACGATTCAATTCTATTTTCTATATTCTATTTCACAATTTCATGTTCTATGTCTATATTCTTGGTTTGAACTTGTTTTGCTCACGAAATCAGGAATAATTTGAAATGAGTATAATCTAGATTCACGGGCGGTTTTGTTTGTAATTTTAGCTATTAACATTTTTCATTTTACATTGAAAGTAATAACTGACAGTTAAAATTACAAACATGACAGCTACACTTATTAACAAAGCTCTCGTGTGAATCCAGTATAAGAGTATGGTGTGATCCCTGACACATGAAATTATTTTTATAACATCTGTTATTCTGGATTCTCAGGAAGATATGCTGATTTAAGTTCCGTTATCAACTAAAATACAAATAAATGATATGATTTCTTAGCCTAGTTAAAGCCTAGTGTGGGGTAGAGAAAAGCGCCCCAGCCATTATAGAGTAAAAGTGTTTAATAGCACTAACTCAAGAAGAATCAAGAATCAAGAATCTGTTATTTAAATATATATTTAAATAATATCACTTTACATATATAAAAATAATTTGACAATAAATGAAGAATTTAAAAATTTGATAATAAAAATAATTTCATTTCAATATTTTGATCCTTTAAAGTTGCATTCAAAATTTTTGTCATTGCGTAAAACATGAAATTTTACTGAAAGAAAATTGCTAGCAATGATGTCTTCTTCAAAAAAAATTCCAAAAAATAAATTTAAAAAAAATTATTTAAATCAAGACTTATGTGACAGTTGTAGGTTAGCAATTAACAATGCTCATACAATTTGGTGTCCCAATAATTACTTAAGAGATACGCACTTTGAAACCAGCTCCACTGATAAAGGACCAAATCCTTACATAAATTTTCTTAAAGATTATAAAAGAGAGCACAAAGATTTAACGACAAAGGAAACTATACGCCTTGGTGCTCATAAATGGAACAACTTACATGCTGACGATAAACTGATTTACATGCAAGACGTAATACTTATACTAAGTTAAAGTTTTTTTTTGATATTGAAAAAATTTTTTTCTTCTTTAAAATATAGGCATTCTATGGTAGCCTCAAAAAAAAATATAATATGCAACTCAATAATTTGATTAAAATGACAGAATCAGATACTGAATTTTATGGGATTGACACGAAAAGCAGAATATTTCCAGGTAGAGGACGAAGCTCCACGTGTATATGTCAACATAAGTCTACTTCAAAACACAGTTCTGTCATAAAACGTAATCTTGCTACAAAACGTAGTCGTCCTTTAAAACGTAATTCTGTTGCAAAACGCAAATCTCCAGCTCGCCGTAAGTAAGCAAAGTAAACACGATAAATGCCAATGAAAGGTAAATAATATATTTGAATTCTCTTTCGATTATTTTGAAATAAAATAAATATACATTAAATTAAACAAAATTTACAATAAAGATATGCAAACTTTATAAACATTGCAAGTTTTGATATTGGAATCTAATTTGAACGTTAAAATTCGGTAGCTAAAAAATTTGCAATCCAAATATGTTATCTGGGGGTTAAAAGAATAAAGGCCCCTACTACCCACTTTCATATACTAATCTATATTTTTAACATAAACCACTACTCCTCCAGGTGTCGCCGTAAAAGTGATTTTAATGGGGACGTTTTACGTTGAAAAGTTAAGCCTCCAAATGTACTGAACTATATAAGATCTTATAATATTTAGTACATTTACAACGTGTTTAAATGACTAGAGCTATATAATTGGTTAGTGTCAAGTGCATTTAAATGAAACTTATAACTTTAAATAGAACCAAAAAGAAAACCGCATTAAATAGTCATCATGAATCTCAAATACGCATAACCAAAAATATTTATCTCTTAAATCACTTAAAATATAATCACTTCCATCTCTACCGTATCTCAACCAATCTTTTCATTTGGTATATGTAGGACTGCATTTTGTAAAGATTAGATATTGTTTTATTGCGTCGTGCACAGCTACAGAATCCATACTGGAATCATATCAGTCGTAATAGGACATTCAAAAAAGCCAGGTAGAGCCTGATAGATTTGCGGTTAAGTTGTGCTTGTAAACCTGAATTTATCTGTCAATGGGCACAATTATTGATACCTCTTTAGTTCAGAAAATAAAAGTACTTCCAACTGAGACTAATCAAATTATAGTTGGTATTATTATAATATTTATTTTAAATTTAGTTGCAAAATAGAAATTTTAAGTATAAAATAGGATCCGTCAGAAATGTAAAAAAAAACCCTGTTAAAAATGATGTAAAAGAAGTAATAAACTAAGCTCATGATCAATAGTTCTGTTCCACGAACTATTCGTAGTAAAATTCAAGTAAAACAGAAGTATAGTAGAAACTGAGAGCGTAACACAAATAAAGTACCAAATTACGTTCTTTACACAGATATTCATGGAAAAGTCTGGTGAATATAGCAGTGCCGCGCAAATAAACAATACAAAAATTTAAGATGGAACCAAATTAGCTGATTCACACATCAACACAAATTTTACTTGAAATAAAATGTTTGTAAAATTTCGACAGGGATGTTACGCTCTCTCAAATGCTCTCCTTTACTTGAAAATTTCCTGGTGGAAAGAACTTGTTTATACTCAGTTTTACTTAAACTTACTACGAGTAGCTCGTGGAACAGACCTAATATTTCAGACTTACATAAAGATGATATCATTATTTCAAAAACTAAAAAGCGAAGATTTTATATACAAATATAAAGTTTTTTGAATTAAATTGAATTTTTGTTTTTTATTTTTATAAAAATAACACGTCATAAAGTATAATTTTCGGAAATTAAATTTACTCGAAAAACGAAGTAGTACTACAGCCCATTTCATTAGGAAAGTACTCTGAGCAAAAACAAATTACATATTAAACATATATCACATATATATAAAATCAGTTTTACTTTATATTTTGTTGTTGCATAATTGTCCTACTCTACTCAAATTCACAATTTGTGATCATCTACTGTATTTCCAATCAGGTATTTTTTTTTTTTTTTTTTTTCTCAAAAAAGGGTTGGGAAGTAGTCTCCGCGTCACTGCATCCTCGAGGATTATTGTGACATACCCACTTCAGTTCCATAGACGAGTGGCAGTTAAGAATGCCAGTATGTCCTTTGGAGAGATGTTGCCTACTTCCGTTATAAGCGGATAGGCAATGGATAAGTAGCGAAGTCTGAGTCTTGCAAGACTATCACAGTGACACAATATGTGTTCTGCTGTTTCCTCTTCTTCGTAACAAAGTCTACAGCTATCGTCTCCAGTGATACCTAGATTCAATAAATGTTTTTTAACTCCGCAGTGTCCAGTTAGAAAACCTGTGACAAGTCGGATGCCACTTCTGTTCAGCATAAGTAGCTCCCTAGTTCTGGCTTTTGATCGAAACGGCATGGATTCTTTTGCTTGTCTGCAGGTAATTGTATTATCCCAATCATTCTGAGCTGCTTTTTCCAACCATTCATTAGTTTTAAGTTTGAAAAAGCTCCACGAAGGACCGCAGAATGGTTGTGGCCCAATATAGTATGATGCCGCCCCTTTTCTCGCTAGTTCATCTGCTTTTTCGTTTCCCTCAAAACCGCTGTGCCCTGGAATCCATATTAAGTGGACTCTGTTCTTTTCAGCAAGGTCTTTGGGAAGTAGAAGGCATTCCCACACTATTTTTGAGGTTACTCGAGGTGAGCGTAGTGCCAGGAGTGCCGATTTACTGTCAGAAAAGATATATATGTTTTTTCCCGTGACGGGTTTACCTTTATATACCCTGAGACATAATTCAATTGCGTGTACTTCAGCCTGAAAAACTGAGTTTTCTTTACTCATACTCGCAAATATTTCCTCTTTAGGTCTTACTCCATATACTCCCGCCCCCACTCCTTCCATCGTTTTGGAGCCATCCGTGTACCACAGATGGTAGTCTCCAGCGAATGGAGGTATGTTCCGTTCCCATTCATTTCTGTCTGGTATTAGTATTAGGAACTTTTGGTGAAAGTTGAATTTAGGTAAGCAAATGTCAGATATGGTGATATTTAGTCCTTTCTCTCTTTGCATTTCCCTACCTAACAGGGAGTTATCGAGTAGTCTTGTTGATTGATTGCTAGTCAACTGTAGCTTGGCCATAAAAGTCATTGCTTCCTTTTTGACTAGTAGGTGAAGTGGGGGGAGCCCCAATGCAACCTCTAGGGCTGCTGTGGGGGTAGTTCTCATCGCTCCACTTCTCATTATGCAGGCTAATCTCTGCAGCTTACGAAGTTTATCTATTACAATCTTCTGTTGTGCTTTTTTGTACCAGATAGCTGACCCATAAGTTACAATTGGTCTGGCAATAGATGTGTACATCCAAAGGCTGAGTTTTGGATTAAGGCCCCAGTGCTTACCAATGAGGTTTCTGCTGGTCCATAATGCCTCTCTGGCTCTTCGTATAACATTGTCTACATGAAAATTCCACGTCAACTTCTCATCTAGAATCATTCCCAGGTATTTTACTTGGGTAACGGATGATAGCTCTTCTCCATTTAGGAATGGTAATTGGAAAGTACTCTCTTCCTTTTCTTTGTGAAGACTACCAGACTTTTTTCTTAGGATTTACATTTAATCCTACTTCACTGCACCATCTACTAACGATGTTCAGGGCTTGTTGGAGTCGATATGAGATGATGTCTTCATATTTACCCCTGACAAGTATGACTATATCGTCAGCATAGCCTTGTGCCTCGAAATGTTTGGCACTGAGTCGATGCAAGAGCTCGTCTACTGCAATTGACCACAGGAGTGGGGATAATACACCCCCTTGTGGGCATCCTTTTACAGTATGTGCTTTTATTTCGGCATTGCCGAGAGTGGATTTAACCATTCTATTTCTTAGTACATTGCTTATCCATGTGCGTGTCGTATCATCTACTCCTCTGTCATGGAGG